GGAGCTCGCGGGGTTGTTGATGCGAAGGGATCTTGTTTCTAGACGAAGTTGGTGTGGTGGGGAGATCTTGGCTTGAGAATGAATTATTTACTTTGTTTGGAGGAATGAGAGAGTCGGGTGTAGGGAGAGAAAGCATTTTCAGGTGGCAGAAGAAAGAGGGGTTTTGATGGCATGAGGGGGTTGTAGGGTTTACTGGTTTATGCGTTTAATGTGGGTAGTTGTAGGGGTTTTTTACCTTTTTTTCAACCATACGGTAAATTATCATATGTTACTTGTTGGGTTAATGCTACATGTGTGGAAGAAGTTGAATTGTTATTTGTTAGTAAGGGATTATTTGATGTTTTAGATGTTAGGAAGAAGTATTTATTTTAATATTTGTTATATATTTTCGGGCTAAACTGGGTTAAAGCGGGCTAAAGTGGGTGACCCATTAACCCTTGACCCACTAGCTCGACCGGGTCCGGGTCAACCCACGGGTTAACAACCTTGAGGATAATATACAAGACTAAAAGCATGGCTCGTGGTGAGAGTTTTTCCTCTCACATCTCTCATCCTCGACAATGCCACCGGAAGAAGACAAGGAAATCCAAGTTAAAGGAAGTAGATATTGAAGAACCTCATCCACCATCCTCTACTCAACATCTATCAAGGGAACTTCATCAAGATAATCAAGTCAATGTAGAAGGCGGTGTAGAGCACATCACTCATTACTTTTTGGAACATGTACCCGAGCAATTCCAGACCAAACTCTTGTGGCTTCAAGGATTACCCTTAGGCGAGAGAACATGTCTCAATTGGATACTCCTCACGCAACTTGGGATTGAGGATGCAATCCGCTCTAAAGTACAGAAGTTGGAATGGGTTAAGTTGCTCTCTATCCAATAAAATATTTACTGGGTGCTTGTTTTGGAGTTTATCAATACTCTTACCATTCGAGATATGAGGGGTGCCGCCGACCTTAAATACAACATCCAATTTCGACTAACAGGAGAGCATCGCCAACTATCGATCCGGGAATTCACTAGAGCAATGAATATTTACCCAGCGGATTTTGTTGACTCACCAAAAACCTTTGCTACCTTGACAAGGGAATCTGGAGCAAAGACAACTTAACTGCCCGAGACGTCACCTGCTTTTATAGATGTACCCCCCCCCCCCAATCTCTACATCTCGGTTTGGCTATCTTATATATCTTCAAGCGTTATGAGATGAATCGTCAGCTTGCCGCACTTCACAGAGGAGTTTTTGTCATTCGTTTAGCCAAGTTTTTCCAAGTCGACTTCGGAGCCGTCCAATTTTGATTGGATAGTAGGAACACTCCTATTTCCTTCGAAGTCTTGAAGTCGAAACTCAAAGTTCTACACATGAATGATGAAGGCATTTGGGGAGTACGGGGACTTCCGTTTCCAACCACTAATACGTTGGACATGGAGGGTACCGTGTTCTGTCTAGCGGAATATAGGGTGGCACGAGCTGAAGCAATGATAGCTGCAATCCTTCACAACAAAGAGAGGGAGAAGGAAGCAAGGCTCCATATTACGGCGTGCCTCCACGCGATAATGAAGAAGATGAACAATCCCACCGATGATGCACAAGACCAATTTGATCGCTTCACTCCCCTTGCGCCACTACATGAAGAAGAAGTACCCTTCGAGGAGGATTGAGTACTAGGCATCTACGACCTAAATTCTATCTTTCCTTTTTGAATGCTTTTGTTTTATTTAAACAATATTTAATTACCGCTTTATTTTTTGTTTTACTTTTCGTACTTTAAATATTCTAGCACCAGTAATATTAGTACTTTTATTATATATCTATCATACCTTTAACTCTTATTCGTCTACCTACCACTCTTATGCGCTTTATCATTGTGAAAACCACCACTAAGACAAAGACCTATAGTTGTGTACCTTCACCGACCCACAACCAAACCTATGGTAACCTTCACGATCTTCTCTTATAAAACTCTCACATTGAGGACAATTTGCTGCTCAAGTGTGTGTGTGTGTGTGTGTGTTGGGGGGGGGGGGGGGGGGTGATGTATATAAATGTGTGAATGAATATCATGATTGGTTGAACCATAAATTGCTATAATCCTCCCTTGTTTATGAATGTAAGACGTTGATAAATACTTATGCGAGTGTCTGCTAGCAATTGTGTTTGTCTTGTGGTGATCAATGGTCAAATGATGGAACGTTGAATGCTATACCCAAAAAAATTCAAATTTGAGGGTTCCAAAACACCTTGTTCCTTGCAACACCCTACTCAATATGCTTTGATTTGTTAGAATTTTGATGTGTTATGCTCACTAGGTGATAGTTGCATAAATAGAGTACCTGTGTGTGGGTAATTTTACTATCTTCTTCCTCTTTTGTGAGTTGATAATATGTGCTATTTTAGGAAAACATGTGTGCGGGATTCTCTTTTGCTTTGTTTGATTTTTGAACTCGAAGCTTTAGAGATTTGTGCACATTAGAAAAGAAAGAAAAGAGAGAAAAATCTTTTCAAAATGAGGCTCACATGAGAGGCAACCAATCCTCACAGTTTCGGAGTGCCCTTTGAGGATATGCTTGGGGATTGGATAGCTTTACCGTGTCCCGGCCATCTTTCACTACTTACCATCACCCATGCGTCTTTCCTCCTCACGGAATCGTATGACAAGGTCCAAAGTACCTTTTAGTGATTCATGAGACCGCAAAGCTCTCGTTTGTATCCGACATGTGTGGCAATCAAATGTGGAGTGCAGGCTGGGAAGTATTGTTCGGGCTATGATGAATCCGCCCATCAACTTCCCCAAATGTGACCATGAAAGGGAAGACTATGATTCATCCGCTCTTGGTCATGAGGGAGATATGCTTGTTTGAAAAAGAATTGCAAAAGCTTGGTGCAATGTGCGTCAACGTTGAAAAAGGAGACTAATAAACGACAACTCCTAAATCTAAAGAGAGAATAAAGAGCACCTTCTAGAGTTATTGTGATTATTTGTGTTATAGAATACACCTCACCTGAGAGTTTGTGCTTGCATAGTAAGATGATAGTAACATTCATTTATCTCCGGCTACTCTTCTTTTTGCAATGAAGAACTAGAGTGCATTCCCATTTATTTGTCCATCATATTGCATTAGGTTTGAGTAGGTATGCTTGGGGACAAGCAATCAGCTAAGTATGCTTTGTTTCATGCTAATTGATGTGCATAAATGCTTAAACATCATCAATTGCATCCCTATTCCTTTCCTATTTGAATTTAATGTGATTTTAGGGTGTGTTAGACAATATATGCGAATTAGGTACAAAACAAGATCACAAGTGTAGCAACGGGGACAGAAGACAGAAGAACGTGGCCTAGAAGCGAAGATCACGACCGAGATCCTAGACCGCGAATTCAAGCTGAAGATCGCGGCCTAGAAACCCAAGATCAGGACCTCGAATTGGAGGGCTCGCGGGTGCGAACTTCCCGAAAAAGAAGCCAAGGAGAAACAGAAAGTTTCCCCAGTAGAATCACGGCCATAGTGCATTCTCACCACAAGGAAGATCGCGGCCGCGGCTCGCGGATTTTTACCGCAAAGTCAACTCGCGATCTCCTCAATTCCGAAGGAAACTACGACTGCGTTTCAAGATCGCGGCATCACCTCTAAAGATCCCACCCGTGATCTCTGGCCTTCTGGCCACGAACTTTTTCGTCCTCTGATTGCCTATAAATAGGAGACCACTTTCCCCTTTAGATGAGATGCTTTTGCGAGAAGAATTTCTGGTTTTGGGGAGAGAGAAGAGAGAGAATTTGAAGGAAGGAGAAGAGGAGGAGAAGGAGAAGAAGGAAAAGAAGGAGGAGCTAGAAGAGAGGAGGCAAGTATGTATGGATTTTTAGGGTTTACTATGTTTGAATGAATGAATTTGTTTATCTGCTTGATTTTATTGCCATTTCATACTTGATTGTGTTTGGGTAAGTCTCCCTAATCTTCTCTATTAGCCTACTTTATGCTTCTACGCTGGGTATGAAGTTCTAGGGTTAGATGAGTATGCGGCATCAAGCAAATCAAGGTAGATGTATGAATAGGGACCTATGGTGGTCGAGGCGACCGAACCCCTGCTATAGGTAGCCTTCCTAGATAGAACATGGGATAAAATCTCGGTGTCGACGGTGGATAGTATCCATTAAAATGAGCTACGAGCTTAGTGCCCCAGATACAATAGGCTACCTCGAGGTGACTTTATATGGGTTCAGGGGAGGCGTACTCGGAGGTGTGTGGATAACCACGAAAGCCTTTGGAAACGAGCTCACTCACTACATTCGATAACCCTAAGTATCTAGATATACATATAAGCTCTAGACTAGGGTGAGGGATAGTTCTCCGAAGTACCTACTTTTAACTTTAATAAATCTCTAAACTAGTAATTTTCTCAAACCTCCAAAAACCGATTAACTAATTAATAACAAGGTGGGGAGTAAGTTAGGGTACTAGGACCTGAGTAAAATACGACAATACCATCTTAATTTAAACTTAGTTTAGAAGCGATAGTTGACACGTGCTAACCATTGACAATAATTTGCACTTACATCCTATAAGGTAAGCTGGTTGGGTCGAATTATATTGTTGTTTTGAACCACGCTGAGTGTCATAGCTGGCGGAAAAAAAGCCTCATTGGGGGCCAGGTTGATAGTCAATTGCCTGAATTTGATTTATTTAAGGCCCAACTGAAGAAACAACTAGTTCTTTTACCTCTGTCGTCTCTCGGAACATAAACACAAAAGTAACCCTAACCTAATTCCGATGAAAATCCCCTTTCTTTATTAAACTACTCATTTGTTCTTGGCAGTGGCGGAGCGAGAGCACAGGGACTGGGGTCCCAGGACCCCACTTGGCCAAAAAATGGATGCCAAATACCGCTTGTATATGTCTCTCCAAATGGGGTTATAAATATAGGACCCCAATGCTTTTACCTTAGAATATTCTCCACCTGCCACCAGTAACTATTATATAATTGTAAAGCATTTTCTTAATATTAAAACTAGTTATAATAATCTATGTTTTCCAATCCCAATGTGAAAAGTAGTATCTCTCTCCATGTTCTCCAAAGAAAATACAGAACACAACTTTCCCCACTTTTGCGATTTCAATCCTCTCTTGTTCTACCGCCAACAAGGAACCTTTGCCGCCTGCCCGCCGTTCCATTCTTGTCTTCTCCGGCTCTTCTTCGCCACCAGATCACACCAGCCGCCCAACCGCCAAAGCTTTGAGATTCACTGGCTACTCAAATAAGGGAACTATGCTCGTGCTTTGCTGGGATACAAAAGCCCTAAATTGAAAATTTACCAAAATTGACACAGATCTCTCTTACTAAGGTATAATCCGCAATTCTATCTATTCGCTTTGTTGCTTGCCCTCGTTTAGGATTAAATTGGTGGAGAGCAGAGGGACACTTTGACCCATGGATAGTTCGAGAGGGAAGGGATTAATTGGTACCCCTGCTTTTGCTTCTGTTGCAGGAGCTCTTTTCTCCTTTTAAATAATAAATACATTAAACATTAGTGGGACAAGTAGGGATTAGATTATTTATTTGTTGAGATGAGTTGATTCGTTTGAGGACTAGTTATTACTTATTAGAGTAGTTCTTACATTGGCAGCCATTAGTAAGCTACGAGTCCCTTTTTCTTGATTAGATTAACTAATTTTCTTGTTTGATTCATCTTCACTTACTGAATATCATCAGATCAAATGGAAAGATACTACTCAAAAAAGCCAAAGATTACTGCCTCAAATGAATGCCATGAATATGATGGAAGCAAACAGGTGGAAGCAATCTCCCATCCAAATACCCAATCACAAGCTCAAGAATCTTTATTGGTCAACCAAACTGTGCAAGTACAGCAAAGAGAGCCCTTCCTACTGAATCAAATTGTGGAATTTGATGTGAATGATTTAGAAGCTGATCCTGGGTTGAGACCAAAAATCTCAAGTTTCCACCCTAATGTCCAAGATGAAGTAAGAAGAGCTTATATTCTAAAAGGTCCTTGTCAACCTGTTGGCCATTCTTTTCCCTGTAAACGTTTTGGTGAAAAGAAAAGAAGGTTTCTTGCTAGTTGGTTTGATCCGCATAAAAACTGGCTGGAATACAGCATTGCAAGAGATGCAGCATATTGTCTACCTTGTTATCTATTCAAACATGAGGTACCTAAGAAAGGTGGGGGTTCATCTTTTATTGGTAATGGATTTTCATGTTGGAATAAGAAGGATAGATTGGATGTTCATGTGGGAGCTGTGAACAGTGTGCACAATGATTCTGTGAGGAAGTGTGAAGCCTTGATGAAACAATCTCAAAGCATTGCAGCTGCTTTATCTAAACAATCTGATCAGAGCAAGATCGATTATAGAATTCGTCTGGAGGCTTCAATTGATTGTGTCACATTTCTCATACGCAATGGAATGGCACTTCGTGGGCATGATGAGTCAGAAGACTCTGATAATAGAGGTAATTTTCTTGAACTTTTGGAATTTCATGCTCGTGGTAGAGAAATAATACAAAGGGTTGTGTTGGAAAATGCCCCAAGAAATCTACAACTCATTTCTCCTGATATTCAAAAAGATATTGTTCGTGCATTAGCTATGGAAATAACTAAAGAAATTCTCAAAGATCTTGGAGATGGTTTTTTTGCCATATTGGTTGATGAGGCTCGTGATGTGTCAATTAAGGAGCAAATGGCTGTGGTTATACGCTATGTTGATGGAGGTGGATATGTTGTGGAGAGGTTTCTAGGTATCTCTCATGTTAAAGATACAAGAGCATTAACACTGAAGAATGAAGTTGAGTCTTTGCTTATAAAACATGGGTTGAGTTTGTCAAGGCTAAGAGGACAGGGTTATGATGGGGCTAGTAATATGAGTGGACAACTCAATGGGCTGAAAACTTTGATTTTGGATGAGAATTCTTCTGCATATTATGTGCATTGCTTTGCTCATCAGCTTCAGTTAACATTAGTGGCGGTTGCTAAAAACCATGGTGATATTAGTCTCTTCTTTGGTGCTGTTAGTAGCTTGATTACTTTGGTTGGTGGATCTTGCAAACGATTAGAGTTCGTTCGAAATGCTCAATTAAACAAAGTTGCAAGGGCTTTATCATATGGAGAACTAGAGACAGGGAGGGGGTTGAATCAAGAAACAAGTCTCAAGCGACCTTGTGATACTCGTTGGGGATCTCATTTTGGGACACTTGTTAATTTGGAATTCATGTATTCTGCTGTGATTGCTGCTTTGGATGATGTTCAGCGTGATGGAAATGGTGAGGCAAAAGGTGAAGCAATTCGCATGTTGAATCAACTTGACACTTTTGACTTTGCATTTATGTTGAAGTTGATGATTCATGTTCTAGCAATCACCAATGAGCTATCTTTAGCATTGCAGAGAAAGGATCAAGATATTGTTAATGCAGTGCATCTGGTTAGTGTAGCAAAGTATAGATTGCAACAAATGAGGGATAGTCGATGGGACTCTCTACTTGCTTCTGTGGTTTCATTTTGTGTCCAAGAAGGTATTGAAGTTCCTGACATGAATGGTCAATATGTTCCTCCTGGAAGGTCTCGGCGTAGGGGTCAACAAGTATCAAATCTTCATTACTTTCAAGTTGAAGTGTTCTACACAGTTATAGATATGCAATTGCAAGAGCTCAACATCCGCTTTAATGAGGCTAATTCTCAACTTCTATCATGCATGGCTTGCTTAAGTCCCTACAAGTCATTTGCTGCTTTTGATCTCGAGAAGGTAATCCATCTTGCTAGTTTCTATCCGAAGGAATTCAGTTCCCGGGACATCAACTTTCTTAGACTTCAAATGGATTCATTTATCGGGGAGGTGCAGCGAGATGAGAGGTTCAAAGACTTGAAAGGAGTGGACGAGTTGGCCATAAAGATGGTGGAAACATTTAAGCATAACCAGTATCCATTAGTTTATTTGCTTATTAAACTAACACTTATTTTGCCTGTTGCTACTGCAAGCGTGGAGAGGTCATTCTCAGCTATGACCTACATCAAAAACAAGTTTCGGAACCGAATAAGTGATGATTGACTTAATGATTGCTTGGTAGGCTATATAGAAAAGGATGTACTTAGTAGTATAGACCCTGAATGTGTTGTACAGTGTTTTCAGAATATGAAATCACGTCGTGGTTCATTGTAGAAACAAACAAGTGTATCGTATTAGTAAAATGTCAAAATTATGTGTTCTATTTTTTTTTTTTAATTTTGCATTAATAATATTTTCTAAGGACCCCAGTTCATCCAAAGTCTGGCTACGCCACTGGTTCTTGGCAAAAGTTCTTGGCAAAAATATCAAACAATTTCAAGTGAAAATACCTAAAATATAAATAATTGATGCAAAGCATAAGATAAATTGAAATGATAAAAACATATAATTGCTAATCATCTATGTGTAATAGTGTGGCTATGAGCTACACCTCATAAAGAAGGCGTTGCAGATCGGATTCTGCTTGTTGTCGTTTTGTGAAGCGGATCGTGGTCAAACCGCCTCCCAAATAATTGGACCATATAGTTATTAATTAGCTGCATATAGGAAGACATGTTGCTTACATAGACAGAATATATGATGACCATTGACCAAGAAAATTAATCCGAGAAACCAAAACAAGAAGGTAATGCAAAAGATAACAGAGAAATGAAAATTGAATTTTGTTGACGTTATTGAGCCACGATGGTGAAGAATCAGTTGTAGGTGTATATATATATATAATGGAAGTTGGTGGTCAACAGCTAACAGAGAGATGCAAAACCGTTAACAACGGGACGGGTCCTAGAATACTTGCACATGCTAATTAGTTTAAAAATTCCAGTCGTATTGATTCCATATCAACCCCTGAATTCCCTTTCTTCTTCGTAAATGACTATTAAGTTCCAGCGGATGGAATTAGCTTTTAAGTTCCAGCCAGAAGAGAAGATGAACCGACATGTCTGGTTTGTTACGGGGATGATGTGATAATAAATGAATGTCGGATTAGAGAAAATTATTTGAACCATAGATTCATTGAATTCAATAATTTGGTAGAAAGTATGCTTTTTGCTGTTTTCTTATTGTGAATTTTACCTTTATAAGTTTAAAAGTTCTAAAATTGAGATATGAAATCTGGCTTAGGATAGGGTCAGTAACCAATGGTTACTAACGTATGAGTAATTAGATCTGGACCTTTAGATTTAAGTGGGTCCAGAAAATTCAGATCTAAGGGTTGTCAATTAAATAGATTTAAATCTGGACCATATGAGTAACTAAATCTGGACCATAGAGTTACTGACCTGATCCGCTCCCATGAAATCTCTCATAACCAAAGAGATTCTATATTTTAATTTGATAGATTTTGTATTTCATATTTTATCTCTTATTTTGTATTTATAATTCCCTTACTAATAAATTTACAAGATTATTTGAGTTATTTTGATTCTTTTGGTTAAGACTAAATATGTCATTTGAAATAAAAAGACTTGGGATATTGTACAAAACCCATAGTAATAAGAATCGATTAGAATCAACGGTAGGGTCATTAGAACTATAAATCAGTTATGATAGCGGTACAGTTCATTACTTGAACTGTTATTGATGGACCAAACGGTTTTTCACTGCTCAACATAAAACCAGATGAACCACTACTGTTTAACTGGTCCACTGGTTCACTATATTAACCAAAAAATATTCTAAAAAAATTGACGCAAACTAAGACCATCAAACCGTAATTATTAATTTTATATATGCTTCCTCTTCTCATTTTCCAACTTGGTTTTCGCTTTACGTTGTCTACTACCAACTGGCACCGTAATTTTATTTGAATTAAAAAATTATGATTTCTTTGTGAGACAGTTTGAATGATTTATTAGATATTTTGGTGATAATATGAATTTGAAATTGTTTATGGTAAATGATAACTTCATTCTTAAATTAGTGTAATATACAAGTCTTATATGTTATATATCATGAACGGTTCTATCAACGATTCACCAAGGGTTTCGTAACGGTTAACCACTGAACCCTAAACCACTAACTTTTCAATTCAGCCTCCGGTCCGGTTCTGAAAACAAAGACAAAACCCTATTATTTGGAAAGGGGAGATCTAATGATCAATATTATAAAAGGGTTGGAGGTGAAAAGGAGGGTCTGCCAGCATGGTTGTAATTTTCGTAAAATTGTAAAATTAGATTTAATTATGGTTTAATTTTTGAATGGGAGATCTAGTGATCAATATTATAAAAGGGTAGGGAGAAAAAAAGAAGGGTCTGCCCGGATTTTGGGGTGGGAAGGTACAAATTCCTAGACACTTTTTAAATCTTCTACGAAAATTCAAAGGACCATAGTGCATTCTTTTTACGTCGAATTTCAAAAACTTTTGCATAGAAAAATCATATTTTTTATATTCTACAAGATGATATCCATTTTGATTTTTTGGAGCAATATTTTAGGTCATCATGTTAGTACATATCAGTGCATATCAGGTTCATGTCATTCATATCAAGATCGTATGAGTTCATATCAGCTCATTTCATTATCAGTTCATATCAATTCATATGAGTTCATATCAACTAATTTCATTATCAGTTTATATCATTCATATCAAGATCATCTCAGTTCATACCAATATCATATCAAGTCCATATGAGTTTATTTAAAAAATATCAATGTGTAGATCTTAATGAATGTGTTCTTTCTAAACAATTGTTTTTCTTTTAATTTTGAGTTGAAGTGAAGGAGATGAGTCATCATATCACCGTCATATCATGATGATATGATTTATATGGCGATCGATTCATTCCGTGCATATTATTGTCAGTGGTTAGCATGTATCAATAACTACCCCATCCTAGGCCAAGTATAACAAAAAATGATGTTGTCATATAGTGACAATCAAGGTCATATTCCCTCGGGTCCCGGTACCCGAGCCTACTTCCCACATTCTTGTTATCTGGCCGATGGATTTAGGGGCTTGT